GGATTGGCTGCTCTGCGGCCGGCGGTGATTGGCGGAGAACTCTCGGGGCAGCCCCTCGGGAGGAAGTGGAGGAGTTTCTCGGCAAAGGGGCGCCGGGAGGTCCCGCCCTCACTTCCGGAATCCTTCCGGCAACGGAAGGAGCGTCGCGGTTCGGCGGCGAGGTGCCCGGATGCAGGTAGGGCCCCGGGGATGCTGGGAGTTGCAGTCCGGGGTGGCGTTGCGCTGGGCTTCGGGCCTCTTCCCGGGAGGGAGGCCCGGGAGGGAGAGAGCGGGGGAGGCCGGCAGCCGGAGGCCTGGTCTGGAATCCCGCGCCGGGAAGAGGCCGGGTCCGCCGCCTGCCTGCCCGCTCCCCCGCCCAAAGGAGCCGTGACAGGCCGGAGGCTTCGGCTTCCGCTCCTCGGGCCTTGCACCTCCAAGTCCTCCAGGGAAGAGAACGGAACCCTCGAAGCGCCTCTCCTCCTTCCCAGTGCGAGTGTTTCAACGCAAAATATAAGAATACACACACACACACACACACACACACACACACACAGACTCTTACGCACAAATATATTTGTATGTAAACTCTGTGTATCTGAAATCTTCTGTCACTGCCTCGCTCCTCTTCGCCCCCTCAGGAGTTCGGACGAGTCCGGCGGAGGAGCGGAGGGAGCCCAGCCGAGGAGCCCTGCCCGGTCCAGGGCGCAGCTCCCCCGGAAGACGGCGGGGAAAGGCGCGGAGTCTGCGGGGCTGCGGAAGGGCCGCCCCCAAAGGAGATGATCCGGAGCCAAGAGGGACCCCGTGAGAGGAGGATGCCCGGAAAGAGAGGTGGGAAGGAGGAAAAGGTCAACATGCCCGGAGAAGCCAAGACGTGCCTGGAGTGCGGAGAATCCTTCAGAACAAATGGAAGTCTCAAACATCATCAAAGAATCCACTCAGGAGAGAAACCTTATAGATGCCCGGAGTGCGGAAAGAGTTTCAGTTGCAGGAGAAGCTGTTATAGACATAAAAAAATCCATTCAGGAGAGAAACCATATAAGTGCCTGGAGTGTGGAAAGAGTTTTACTGATAGTGGAGCTCTCAGTCAACATCTAAGAATTCACACAGGAGAGAAACCGTATAAATGCCTGGAGTGTGGAAAGAGTTTCAGTCAAAGGGGAAGCCTTTATATACATCAAAGAATCCACTCAGGAGAGAAACCATATAATTGCTTGGAGTGTGGAAAGAGTTTCAGTCAAAGGG